TTCCTGCTAAAGCTTCTACCTTTTAAGGACTCCAATTTATTATACAACTTTGGGACACTGAGCAAAGCAAGGAACAAAGCTTATTTTACAAACAAGCTTCATGAATAGATGCATATAAATAAGAATTCTAATGAGCTATATGAAGACTACACTCTTGAACACAATTCTTTGTTTGAATTTCTCTGTTGTACTCAGAAGTTCTGGTCATTATCCTCTGAAATAGTTTGGAATTTGCTTGCTATTCATTTTGTTTGCTGCTTGGCTTTTGCTGCCTATCTCATCCTCTTCTTTTTAGCTGTACTTCTGGTAACCCCATCTTTTTTGTTCATTCCATCCCTTGTGATGCAGCATCTTATTTCTGTTATATTGCAGCCATTACTAAGGAATACAGACCAAACTGTATGACTTCGAAGAGATGGAGGGGAGAGGAGGAGTGGCCTTGGTCTTTGAAAATTCATGTGGGATTAGGAATGATTTACTAGTTGAATGATAATTTTTATTCTGAGTCTTATCTGCACATACTATAACATCTCCGCTTTCAGATGGTTCCCACTGAGCTCGTAGAAAAAGAATTCTGGCGGTTGGTGAGCAGCATAGAAGAAGATGTCATTGTGGAATATGGGGCTGATATCTCATCCAAGGACTTCGGAAGCGGCTTCCCAGTGAAGGACGGCCGACGAAAACTGATGCCAGAGGAGGAGGTGAGAAACAGGATATGCAAACTGACCCCATTCTTTGCATAAGATTTCACTTGAAGAATTTAGGACAGAAATCGGTGTGGATTTTTTTCATTAAGAAATTGCTTAAGGCTTTTGTATGCACTTAATGTTCCTTTTGAGCAGGGCATTAATCTGATATTTTAGATCCTTTTACAGATCTGGTTGCTGATAGCTAAGCTGCTTTTCATGATTTAAGTCACACCTGTTTTGTGTCACTTAATCTTAGCAGGCAAAGATGTGCAAGTTGTTATAGTATGTCTGAGTATGAGGAGACTGATAAGATTTCTTTTTTTTTTCTTGTTCTGAACCTTTTTGTTACAGAGTTAGCTACAGAGAGCATGATTCTAACCTCCTTAGGAGGTTCATAATAGGTAAAACAAATTCATTGGATTTAGCTTGTTTCTTTTACTGTGCTTACTGTAAAAGTGAAAAGAGGTAGATACAGCATCCTCTTATAGAAAATTTTATAAAGAACATCTGGTAAGTATATTACCTGTTCTCCCTCAGACTTTACTGTAGCATATCAATTTTCTCACTGCTTATATGTTTAAAATTCAGATTAAATGAGCAATAAAGGTGTGGTTTTGTAATTACACAGCCCCAAATCAATTTATACTGCTCACTGGAAGATGCAATCCTGCTCACTGTTGTCTTCCTCCCATACCTGCACCTTCCTACCTGTGCCTTTGTTGGCTGTGAGGTGATTGTGTAGGTCCTTAGTGAGTCAGTACTACTACTTGATCTATTTGTATGAAAGTAGTAATTAAAAAAAAAAAAAAATTTCTAGCCAGATCACTTAGGTCTTCTGGCTCACTGCATTGTCTTTATAGTGTCAGAGTAAAGGAAACAGCAGGAACGAGTGGCTGAGCTGAGGGTGTGACCAGTCCTTTCGGGAACTATGGGATATGCCTAAAATGACTGAATCTGTGCTAACAACTGGTTTTTAAGGTGGAAAGTAGGCTGATGTTAAAGTATAGTAATGAGGTTTTAAGGCAGTCTGTTTGGATTCTCTTTTTTTTTTTTTTTTACAAATTTCTGTATTTGAAAGTAAAGGTGGGATTGTTTAACTGGAAATGAGTGTGTAGGAATTTCTTCTCTTCAGAAAACTTTCTGAAGTAATATATAAGATAAACTGCAGTGCATTAAAGCAGGTCTTAAAAAAGCTGAAATAATAACATAAGATTCATTGCATTATTTACAGTCTTAAGTTACCCAATTTTACTGAAGACTTTTGTTCTTCTGCTAGTGTTACTGGTTATTTTGTTCTGCCAGAAAAGCATGAAACCTATCAAATTTTGGGGGCGGGGGAATCAAAGCCTAAGTATATAAGCCTTGATCCAAAGAAGATAGGCTATTTGTGTTGAAATACTAGGACTGGTATTAAATCTTAGTCTGATTGCTGACTAAGGTATTTAAGGAATTATTTCCTAGTTTTGATTCTTCATTGTTTTAGAGTATTACACGCTGTCTACTGTAGAAATGGATAGACTGATCTCTTCCTTTGTACTTTCCTTTTCTGGAGTTGGTGTCCTTATGTTCTTCTGATTTGTTCAGAATTTTCTCCTTTTTTTGGCAGGATTATGCACTTTCTGGTTGGAACTTGAATAACATGCCAATTCTGGAACAATCAGTCCTTGCTCACATCAATGCAGATATCTCTGGCATGAAGGTACCTTGGCTGTATGTAGGGATGTGCTTCTCCTCATTTTGCTGGCATATAGAAGATCATTGGAGCTATTCCATCAACTACCTGCATTGGTATGGGCTCTCCTTTGTGCATCTACCTTACACCGCCCTGTATTAGTAAATTTGTCATTTTGCTTGAAAACGCCTATGCACACTGATGATCTTATAGCAGCCTTCTAGTACTTAAAGGAGGCCTACAAGAAAGCTGGAGAGGGAGTTTTGACAAGTGCGTGTAGTAATAGGACAAGGGGCAATAGCTTTAAACTGAAAGAGGGTATTTTTTTGAATAGAAATAAGGAAGAAATTCTTCACTCTGAGGGTGGTGAGGCACTGGAATAGGTTGTCTAGCTGTGGATGCACCATCCCTGGAATTGTTCAAGGCCAGGCTGGATGAAGCTTTGAGCACCCTGACCTAGTGGAAGGTGTCTCTGCCCATGGCAGGGGGGTTGGAACCAGATGATCTTTGAGGTCTCTTCCAACTCAAACCATTCTATGATTCTATGACATTTTTAACGAAAAAATTAAATGTGATGAGTGGGCTGTATTTTTAGCTGAAGCTGTTGAAAAGGGAATATAGATACTGTTTGAATCACTTCAGTGTTTTTCATTAACTGATTAAATATTGCTGTGTTGCCAAAAACCCAGTGTCACTCGAAGATCGTGCTTTACAAGCGCACAGCTTTTCTAAGAAAGCTTCTGGTTTTGAACTCAGTTACAGTTGACTGGTTCACTGCTTTGTGATTTCAAGTTGGTATGCCCCTATGCGGGAAATGGAGGCTGCTGCCTCGTGGCTTACACAGGCATCAGAGCTCACAGTTCAGCAGCAGGTTTAAGTACACACAGAAATGCACCTGCTAAAGAGAAGAGAAATTTGAAAGTAATTCTGACTTTCAGAACTACCCTTGAAGTGTTCTGGTCTTCAGCTTTTGTGTTTGAAAAGAAGAATCCTGACGGATGAACTATTTGCATTGCAGTCCTCCCAGCTCATCAGGCTCAGTCAGAGCGGATGGAGCAGGGGGGAAGGAGGGGGAAGCTGTGGGCAGCATCCCTTCAGAACAGACAGTTTGTTGTACATCTGGTGAGGACGAGTGGATAGCATTTAGACTGTGATTGCACATTTCCGGGGAAGCGTGTTTGCTAGTAAGGTCTGATCCGCAGGCTCAGGAGGGGGATTCACTTCGTTTGGAGTTCAGTTATTGTCCTCAGCATGCTATTAACTAGATCGGTATGTGCGAGTTTTGTGTCAGCTGGTGAATTCCAGCAGCCCAGGTGCAGGATAGTTGTTTTATTTACCGGGGTTACTAGTGGTGTCCTACCAGCAGGTGTCACTGAAGGCCGGAGGAACCACAGAAGATGCTGCACGGTGCCTCATCTGACTTTCAGGATGGTTGGTGACAACCGTTCTTGATGCAGTTAAATAGTGCTATGTAAATGGTTTCAGAATTTCAGTAGACTACTGCTTGTACTTCTTAATAAAATAAAATTTTAATATAAACATGAGCACTGTAGATACTAGATCATTACAGTTTATTTTGATTAAGATAGGATTGGAATTATACTTTCTCTAGTAATTTTCTGTTTAGTTTTGGTCTTGCTAATCTCTTTCTTCCCTCACATTCAACTAATTCATGTTATTAGGTGTAAAGTGCAGTGGACCACTGGTTTTCAGTAATTGGCTATGTATATTAGAAGGATTGCTTGTTTCATTGTGTTGGGTGTTTTATTCTTCTCACTTCTGCTTAGCTGGTATACTATTCCATTGGTTTGAGGAACAGGACTACTCCAAACCTAATTGAGTGGAAGAGTACCATGATCTCTTTTCTTCTAAAGATTAGCTGTGATGGTCAAGGTCTTGTTTGTTAAACTTACTTTCTTCTTCCTAAAGGAAAATAATTGCCGGTTTTATCTCTTTAGAGCATGGTAAATGACAATTATTTTCCACTTTAGGCTTGTCATGACAAATCTGCTGTCAGGTATGTTGAGAATTATGTTGTAGTGTAACTGATATTTCAGATTAGAAGAATACATCCTGAAAAAGACGGTTGTCAATTCAAGTGTTTTTGTGTCTATATATAAAATATTTAGCTTCTGTGGGCAGCGGTGCCAGATTTGAGGTGTACTTTGCAGTTGGGTGACACCATTACTTCCCTTTAATGTGTTTATTACTGTGGTTGCGTTTTGTTAGGGGAGAGCCGAAGACATGGTATGGTGTGCCCTCTCATGCAGCAGAGCAGCTAGAGGATGTGATGAAGGAATTGGCTCCTGAGCTCTTTGAATCCCAGCCTGATCTCCTGCATCAGCTGGTGACTATTATGAACCCCAATGTGCTGATGGAACACGGTGTACCAGTGAGTAGCACATGAGCATTTCTTACATAAGTACTTCTATGCGCTTTCTTTTTTTCGTTCTGTGCCAGATTTGTGTAACAATGGTTTGGCATAACTCTGAAGAATTTTTATGGTGGACATTTACATATTCAATTCATTAGTTATGGGGTGTTTTTTTAATCTGTTTTCTAGAATTTTCTCTAGACTCACCGTGAAACTTAAATTATATCAGAAGCAAGTGTGCCAAGCTTCTTACATAAAATGGCTTATAGAACAAATGTACATTGTGTGTTACATTTAGTTCGTCATTAAAAAAACCCCACCCTGCCATAGCAGCAAGTTAGTCTGTGAAATGCTTTTAATGTCTTTTGACAGTAAAATACTTGTCTTATGTTCAGTAGAAATCTCAGCATTCTGAAATGCTTTTTTGACCAAACATAATTGACTGCAGACCTTTAAGCACCAGTCACTGTCATTTGCTTTTGTCTTAGGATAAATTGCTTCCCTGGCAAACACCCCAACAAAGCAAACCATAAACTGTTTCCAGAAGCTTTTGCACTTTGTGGTGTGATGGATTAAATGATCATAGAGAAACATCCCTTTTGGGATTCATAAAGAGAATTTCAACTGTTGGCTTGTATATTCAGCTTTTTTGACTAAGGCCATAAATTGAGGATTCACTTCAAGAAGACAGAACCAATCCTTGCCACTTTTAGGGTAGCTGTGTTGCCTGTGGTGTTCTATAGGTAGAGTGGTGTGCAAATGTCTTGTAATTATGTGCCTTAAACTCTGTTGCAAGTTTCTGATTTTTTCATTTTTTTTCTCCTTCATCCTTCTTGTATTAGGTATACAGGACCAATCAGTGTGCTGGCGAGTTTGTTGTGACCTTTCCTCGTGCCTATCACTCTGGATTTAACCAGGGATATAACTTTGCTGAAGCTGTGAACTTTTGCACTGCTGACTGGGTCTGTTCTTTTGTATATGTTCGCTATGTCTCTACTTGGTGATCTTTGCAAGAAGTGTGTTACTAACTTAATTGTTTGAATAGTCTTTAAATAATGTTTTTTGTTTATAGTTCCTGGTACAACAGTTAGACTGATGTGAGTTTCCATTACACAGAATAATTTTGATGAGCACATAATTTTAAGCAGCTTCAAACTGTAACTTTGTCTTCTGGTCTTCCTTTTGAAGTATTGATCTAACCAAACAGTGACCTCTCACAGTACTTTTAGCTAGTATTTCTGTGATGCGTCTTTCTGAATTTCATGCAGATTAATGTACTATCTTGAACAGTTGTTGTTGTTTGAATGTTGGAGGTAGACATATAAGAGTCTTTTGTTCTCCTTTTGTGCCAGCTCATTGCACATTTTAATCATATTAGTGCTTGTTCTAATAGCTGTGCCATACCAGAATGTAGCTTATGTGGATTCTTCAGTAAGTTATCAAAAGTGTGTTCTATCGCTATCCAGGGTTTACAGTTGGAAGTTGTGATCTCATCTGTAGTTTATCTATCTCTAACTTCTTTTTTGTTATTTTCAAATAGGGATTTTAGTCCCTAACCAGAGAATTTTATTCATTCATCAGAAAAATTGTCTGCAGGATTGACAGTGCGTCATTGTTCTTTTCTGCTGTCCTCATGATATAATCCATGGTATAGCCTCTGTGAAAAACTGCTAAACTCACCAGCCGTGTGAAATTTCCTTTGCTTATGCAAAATGTAACCAGAAATCTGTGTAGTCAATTCATCTAGCATTTTTTATTTTTTTGCTTTATAAGGCCCAACATGAGTGATACCAGTTTTGGTTAACTCTAGGCATCTTGTGTTAAATGTGTATGTCCAAGCGTAGTAATGTCCAGAGGGCAGTGCGTTCACCTTAGCGTAGACCACATGGCTTCTTTTTGATGCCAGTTTCTTACCAGTGGAAGTAAAAAGAGCTTAGGACAACTCTTAAACTTGTTAGGCATTTAAGGTTATGGCAGATGCCCCCCTCCAACATGGATATCTTCTTTGTCCTCATCTGTGACATGATTTAAGTTTGTTAAAATTGGCTCTGTCCCATGAGATCCAACTCTTTTAGTCTCAGTGCCAGGTTTTGTCAAAGGAAGGAGAGTGGGAGCTAAGAGATCATCTCGAAACATCTTTTCCCAAAATGATGAGTGTTGTTTTTTTGTAGCTTCCCATCGGACGTCAGTGTGTGAGTCATTACCGAAGGCTAGGACGTCATTGTGTTTTCTCTCACGAAGAGCTGATCTTCAAGATGGCGGCAGATCCAGAGTGCTTGGATGTTGGGCTGGCTGCCATGGTCTGCAAGGAGATGACTCTCATGATAGAGGAGGAGACACGGTTAAGGGAGTCTGTTGTACAGATGGTGAGTAATAAAAGACAACTCTGACTTTGCTTGCAAACTGACTTTTAATTCCCCTGCCCCCTGCCTGGATTAGAGTTTTTAGAAAGTGTCTACTTCTTTTCTGTTAGGGAGTATTGATGTCTGAAGAAGAGGTGTTTGAACTGGTTCCAGATGATGAGCGTCAGTGCACAGCTTGCAGAACCACATGCTTCTTGTCAGCTCTTACATGTTCCTGTAATCCTGAGCGTCTGGTATGCTTATACCATCCATCTGATTTATGTCCATGTCCCATGCAGAAGAAGTGTCTAAGGTACACAGGATTTTTTTTCACCCCTCTTTTCTTCCATATTCAATAGTTTGCTGCAGATCAGTGACCAAATACAACATGCAGCCACACTTCTCTCTTCCTTTATTTAGGAAGTATTTTTGTCCTCTTTGCTTGTTTCTTGGTTCCAAGGCAGCAGATATGATATTTGTTCTGTCTTTCTGGCCTTGTTGTAGCTGGAAAAACTCAATATAGGCAATATCCTGGCTTTTATATGGGCATTAACACTCTTCCTCTATTTTCCTTCCGTATCTGCAGGTACCGGTACCCCCTAGAAGACCTTCCTTCTTTGCTGTACGGAGTGAAAGTTAGAGCACAGTCTTATGACACGTGGGTCAGTAGAGTTACAGAGGCTCTGTCTGCCAATCTCAACCACAAGAAAGGTCAGACTTCTATCATTTATAATAGGATGTTCTGAAACTCCTGCATTTGTTCTGTGTTCTCATTGAATGAGAGAAATGCTGTGTATTATTCAGTGGAAAAAAGAAATGAACTAATCTGAGAGTGTAACGCAACTCATTGTTGCGCATTTCAAATTGAACTAGCCTGTTGGAATCTTGATTGAAGCCCTTTGAAGAAGTCTAAAGTCTTTTTGTTTTGCATACAAATTATTTATATACTGTTATTACAGATGTGATTGAGCTGAGAGTAATGTTGGAGGATGCTGAAGACAGGAAATACCCGGAGAACGATCTTTTCCGCAGGCTCAGAGATGCTGTGAAAGAAGCAGAGACCTGTGCTTCAGTAGCACAGCTGCTTCTGAGCAAAAAGCAAAAACACAGGTAGGACAGGCATTTTTTCAGCAGTTTCCATCTGACTGTTTTGTTACTTGATTGGACCTGTAAACATAAGAACTCTGAGGTTTCACTGCCTACTGACTTCTTTCAGTGTTTCCTGCCCTTAGTGCTGAGCGAGGGTGTTGGGAGACAGAGGAGGCAGATACAGTGACACAAAGGACCAAATAAGCAGACAGGGTTGGAGTGTGTTAAATGTACTGTTTTCAGCTGACTTACATACTGAAATATGAAATCCTTTGGAGAAGTAGTGTGTTTGCTGATCAGATATTTCTCTGAATATGTGGGAGAGGTGTAGGAAAAGACAACTAGAGAAAAAAATGTAATGAAAGTAAGTCTTCCTGTGAATGTTTTGTATCTTGGGTAGCCTGGCTAAGTACATAGCTTAAAGCTGTGGAAAGAAAGACTGTTAAAACATTGGATAGCAAAGCAAAATTCGTGAAAAGTAGGAAAATACCAGTGACGGTTGGTGAGGCAAGTGCAGTTGTATTTTCTGGTACAGCATTTCTCAAAAATATTTAGAATTTTGCCAGCTGTTCTCAAGTTGCAGTACGTGTTGTGATGCTAGTGGAGTTACTGGAAGATGCAAAGTAAATGTGTCTTGCCAGCATTAACTGGGGCAAAAGGATCTTGAGGAGCAGAGCAGTGCAGAGAGCAAAAACAGTCCATGGTTTCAGCCAGTCTTTTACTTGGGAAGGACTGTGGGAGGCAGTGATGTGTGGCTGAAAAGTAGTAGCTTGCATCAGTGACTTCTGGCAATTTAGAATCCTGTAGTTTCTATGTTGCCCGCCTTGCCTGTGTGCCTCAGTGTCCCCTGGCCTTACCTCAGCAATCTGCTGGATGTGTGCCCTTATTCTGCTGTCGTGAGCCTTCAGCAATGTGTTCTTCCTTCTCTCCTATGCATTCTGTGCACTGAATAAAAGTCCCATAGAAAAGAATTTGATCAGGTGATTGTTATTCTTGTGCCAGCGATTGTATGGTAAACTTTTATAGCTTACATTTCCTCCAAGATTTGGCTTTGTAGTTGGTTGGGTTTTTTGCATGTGTAGTTTTTGTGCATGACTTAAGACTTTGCAAGGGAGAGAGTAAAAAGTAAGTACCTTGTGAATTACAATACCCAACTGTGCTACACAGAACGTGATGCATATTGCTTGAATTTGAACACTGAAATGTTCAAGTGTTACACCGCAGATCCAAGTATGATACCTGACGTAATTGGAAACCTATTATAAAATAGAGAAGCATTTTTACTGTATTTGAAGGGGAAAGAAGACTCTCCTGTTTTGTGTTTATTGCTTGTAGGATCCTACTACCGCAGAGATATGGTCACTTAGAAATCTGGTCTGGGTGAGGGAAGCAATGCTACAGGGGCTGCATTGCCCTTTTCCTGGTGAAGTTTAATGATTTTGGTAACTCCCAGCTGTTCTGGTCTGTTGCTGCTTCCTCCTCCTCCTGATGTTGGAGTGTGTCAGCCTTCTCTCAACAGACTTGCCTTCAGTTAATTATTTGGTGGATTTCCAGCACTATCCGAAGAAACACAAGGGATAGAAAGATTTGACAACTTTCCATGGTGTGTCTGATCTAAAGCTGAAAGGAATTCCATGGGGCAAAAAAAGGTCTTGTATGTAAGTCTGAGGGCTGTTATATGCTAAATAGCAGTATGTTACAAAACGGAGATTGGAGAAAGAGGTTTTGAAACCTCTTTAATTGACAGCATTAGGAAATTTAAATATAGAGGTCACGTTCAGCTTCTTCAACATTTATGTTCATGTTTAATACATTGAGAAGGATCACAGTTGCAGAAAGGATAAGCTTATTAAAAGCAAATTAAAAACGAGTGCTCAGACAGAACAATTTGGCAGCGATTAAAGCAGCAATAAACTCACGGTCAAATGCAGCAAAAGAAAATCTATCCCTTATGCATCTGATTATATATAAACCTGAAAAATAAGTAATGCCTAGCTGTGGAGATGTGTCCAATACTCCAATCCTGTCTCTCTCCCCACTGTTGAAAGTTGTGAGTTTCCGCGGGCAGGAACAGTTGTGTCTCTTTGTGCAGTATCTCCTGCTGTGGCAGTCCGTGTCTGGACAAGGGACAGAATGCCAACAGGGTGTTTGGGAGAGCTGCCCTCCCGCTGCGGTGTCTCTTGGAGCACCGCACCCCCTTCACTCTTGCACGGGAAGGTGGAGGGCACAGCAGGTCCTGTGCAGCCACCCCTCCTCACTGTCTGTCGTAGCTAGTCAAAGCCTACAGTGTTCTTTTCTTTCCCCTCTTGAGTTTTACGTAGTGTGTAATTATATTTGATCGTTAATCTAAATTTTACTTTTACAATTATATTTGAAAGATTGAATTTTGGTTTTCTTTAATGTTTCTGTAGTAACAAAATGTAGATTCGCTGGCAGGGAACAACTCTTCAGTGTTTAAATAATCTGTCCTGCTTGTGGAATTGTTGTGCCCATCAGTGATGTGTACACCAAGTGTTTGATTTGTGCAGTCTGTCACTTTTAAGTCTTTTACGGCATTTAACGGGCTTCTCATAGCTGCTGCAAGTGATATTTAATGGAAACGTTGCTGCAGAACATGTCCTACTCAGTAGCAGTCTTTTCCTGTTGCAAGGCCAGTTTCATCAGTTCTCTGGCTACCAGAGGACACACTAGAAAATAATACTGACTTCTTTTCAGAGCTTGTTGCTCTTACATAACTGAGACTACTTGTCGGTGCCTGTCATGGCAGTCAACTTCTTGAGCTGCCTAAAGCAAGCTTTTGGAGGCCATGTTCTTGTACCTGTTTGGAACAAACCCAATTTGAAAGTCATCTAGACATTCCTACCTCAGAAAAGTAGGGTAAATTCTCTTGAAGATACTTAGAGGAATTACATTAAATTTAGTTTTCAAGATTTCGGAGTTTTTGTGGAGTTTGGGTTTTTTTTGGAGTTCTCAAGTGATGGAATTTCTTTTGTAATGTCTCAGTAATCTTGGTAGCTTTCTGTCACTGGGAGTAAATCCAGGGATCATCATCTTCTCTCTCACGTAATAGTGCTTAATTATGTCCATTCATACAGCAGACAGAGCCAAGATAGTGGAAGGACACGGACCAAGCTGACTATGGAGGAGCTGAAAGCATTTGTACAGCAGTTGTTCAGCCTGCCCTGTGTTATCAGCCAGGCCCGACAAGTAAAGGTAAGTTTGTATCTGTTCCTCCAATATATTTTCATGCTTTTTGCTTTGTTCTGTTTTGTAGGGTTTTTTTTTGTTCTGTTTGTTTATTTTTCTTAAACAGATAGTATTGCCTGATATAAAGGATGAAAAGCTTTTTATTTTTTTTAAGAATCAGTCTTGCACTGGCAGAGATGGATTGAATGAGGTGTTTCATTTCTAGCTTCTAATATAAAGCAAGTAGCGGCTTTGCAATGATATCTGTGGCCTCAAGAAAGGAAGTAAAATACTCTGGATACATCTGGCTCAGTGTGTCTCTGCTTACTGGGTAATCTTGCTGTTGGCACTGAAGTTTTGCTGATGACATGTTGCTGTCTGTCCGTAACATGTATTTCCTGCTCATTTGCAAGCATGTCTCTAAATGAACAATGATGACATTTCTACTTTTTATGCTAATATAGTCATAGCAGCTTTGTATGTAGGGCTCAATTTGATGACCTAAGCATGCGTATCTAGCCATCTGTGAGGTTCTCTCAAGTGTTCCACCTGGCCTCCATTGCCATTGTGGGAGAACACCTTAGCTCTCTTGTGTGGCACTCTCAGACAGTGTGGGGTGTTGCACATGGCAGTCACTGTTTAGGCAGCTGAACAGAGCACTTCACTTGACTCTGTACACTTTTTAAGGTGCTGGTTGCAGTGGGCAAGGTCAGACGTGGTGATCTCACTCTGGCTAAATAAAGATAAAAGATCTTTCCCACCTGTCAGTGTTCAGGTGGCCCAGTTTTACCTCTCTGAACCAGTTACTCTTACTCCAGCATCTTTAATGCTATCTGTAGTGGTGGAATTTCCAGTTAAATCCTACCCTTTATATATTTTCGTAGAAACTTCTGAAGGTTAATTTGGTGTGCTGCTTCAGGGGAAGGGAAAGCAGTATCACATTGACAATTGTTCAGTAAATACTTCTCAGCCTTGCTTTGCAGGTTACAGCCCCCTTAATCTGTATGCATGGCCTGTGTTTCTTGTCCTTTATATATATCTTTGCACCTGTCTTTGAATGAATCTAGGCTAATAAGTAATCCAGATCACACCGATTCCCCTGGCTGCTATTATCATTTATCACTCTGGCAGTCTGTATCATAGCAAGTGTTTTCAGCAGTAATCTTAATTTGTTTCTGTGTCACTGATGATGAAATGTTAAATAATGTTTCGCCTACTAACCAACTTCTGGAAAACTCCTTGAAGAAACATCCTTAATAAAGATTTTTTTTTTCACCTGGAGAAGTGGATCTTGAGATGTACGTTAACCATTTATTAACCCATGTGTTGTCTGTTGATACAGCTTTACGAAGAATGTTCTTTATTGCTAGATTGAGGTCCTGAAGTTCTAAACATTACCATGCGTGGACCTGCCCCTACATAACCAAACATACAATAGTTGTTTGAGAAGGCCTCTTTTCAATAAGTTTTTCTTTGTGTTGGTTATGTCTTCCATCATTCTGTATTAACTTTTCTATGGTAGTTCACTGTTGGTATCATGAAGAGACTTTATATTGGACTTTCTTCTTGTCTTTGATATTTGCATGTTGTTGTTGAACACAGTTACCTTCATAAAACTATAGAGCTCCAGGATACGGATTTTCCAGGCTTGTTGACTCATCTTTATCATTCAAAGATGTTCTTTAATGTGTTTCCCAGCAGCTAGTAGAGTGGAGAGCATATTATCTTCCTCATATGATAGGAAGATTTTACTACACTTCTTTCCAAATACAAACTGGAAATATTTACTAATATTTATTCATGAAATTTTATCATCATCTATTATTAGACCCATAAGGTTGTTCTCAAAGGAGTTCATGATTTCTAGTGTATTTAAAACCTGCTTGTAATTAAGACATAATTAGCAGATGACAGAGCTGAGGGCGTACAATAAACTCTTAACAGTTAAATTACTATTTTTGTCTAAACGTTTTTGCCCAGCTAGTGTCTCTCTTCCCCCGCCCAGCCGTAGGAAACTGGTTGTGTTAAAGTACTCTGTGCATGTCTATGTTCTTGAAGCTTCGACATAATCACTAACCAATAAAATAAATATTATAATTTTACTGGTTACAAACCATAGTCTCTTAGTTTCTGAATGAAGTCAGATAATGATCATTTATGCCTAAGCACTCACTAAATTTCAGCATGGCATTTGAATGCCATTATCCATCGTAATGAATTGCAAAAATAATTGTCATGTTGGATGATGAGTATTTTCAAACACAAAAGGAATTATAATTATTAAACTGTAATAATTTACTGTTGTCACTATGAAGCATTCAACATATGTTCCCTAAGTCAAAATCCTTATAATGTGGATCTTGGTCTTTTTTGTAAACGCCTTCAGGTTTCCAGACAGTCATGAAAAGCAGCATCAGACAAAAAGGACAGTAAGCTAAGCGTTAGAAAATGCAGGTTTTGCTCCTCATTGTGCCATCGACTTGCTATCAGAAATACCTGTGTTTTTGTAAGAGACTCAGGAGTGAATCAATTGAGTATACTGGTTGAATGTCCTTGAGTGAATCTCCTGCAGAGATTCTTTCCTGTCTGTTTGCTTTCTTTGATTTTTTTTCATTGCAGTGCCAAAACATGAGGATGAAGACAACTGCAGCAGTGCAGTTAGATTTCTGTGAAATTGTCTTCCTTCATTAGAGGGTTTTGTGTTTTAATTTCTTTCCTTTTTGAGATAAAACCTATGTGTGTTTAAGTAGTGGGTCTGCTTTGGGAGATGATAATTTAAAACCTGACTGTTGTGATTTTAATGGTCTTTTGGTATTCATGTCCTCAACTCTGGCTTGTTCTTTTCCCTCACAACTCGTGTTCTGTTGTGTATTACCATCATCGCTGTTAACGCCTCTGACCCTAGGTTTAAAGGATGATCTGTTTGCAGAAGTCACCTTCCCCCCACTATTATAAAATCAGTGTTGACTGGGCAGTGCTTAATACTCTGTTGGAAGCTGTAGTTAGTTGCAGTTGTACTATTTTAGGTGCAGAGTTTCATCCACCTAATATACATAGTATATAAAATATTAGGCCAAGTGAGTTTAGATGGTCTGTTACTTAATGTGTCAGACTTGATGCCTTGTGACAAACTAGCTGGCAGTGTGTGTAGAAGCTTTGACTGATTATGTGATGATCACATACAAATTCACAGCTGACTGATCCCCCAGTCAGCTTTCTCTTTTGATTCTATGTGTGCTTTTTTCTAATTGATTTGTACTGTATGTTACTTCAGAATCTGCTCGATGATGTGGAAGAATTTCATGAGCGTGCTCAAGAAGCTATGATGGATGAAATCCCAGACTCTTCCAAGCTACAGGAATTGATAGACATGGGCTCTGGTCTTTATGTAGAACTTCCTGAACTTCCAAGGCTGAAGCAAGAACTGCAGCAGGCACGGTGGCTGGATGAGGTGAGGTCCACCCTCTTGGATCCCCAGAGGGTCACCCTAGATGTGATGAAGAAGCTGATTGACTCGGGTGTGGGCTTGGCACCACACCATGCTGTAGAGAAAGCCATGGCTGAGCTGCAGGAGCTTCTTACAGTCTCGGAGAGGTGGGAAGAGAAGGCCAAGGTCTGCTTACAGGCCAGGTGAGTGTACCTTTGCAAACTGTTCTTGTAGGTCACATGCTTCAGGGAGTCTCTTGTGTCTGTTGAGAAGTGTGATGAAAAGTAGGGGCTTTGAAGCTGTAGTGTAGTGGGTTTTTGGGGTTTTTTGTTTGTTTTTTTTTTTTTACCCCCAGCAGTTTGATTGCTTAAGAGTTGAATTTGAGGTTGTTGATGAGTTGCAGAAGAGTTGGTTCCCTATCGTGTTGCACAGTGGCAGGAGGCTGTGAGTTGCTGCTGTCTTGACTATTCGTCCCCCTCAACAAAAAAACACTGAGTATGCTACGCAAGACAGCTTCCTTGTTGTTAAGGAATTCTGATGCTGTGCCCTTTTGAACTTGATTGTGCAAAGTCCATCAGCTTTCTCACCTCTCCTGTTATTTGGTAGCCAGTAGCACCCTCCAAGAATAGAGCTGTGGTGTCCTGCGCTGCAGTGTAGTGATGAAGTTGCACCACCAGCCTGTCAAATTTATGTCTAATTGACTGTCATTTTGAGACAAGGCTGGAATTCAATTTTTCTTACTCTAGACCACGCCAAAGTATGATGGCTTTGGAGGGCATCGTGAATGAAGCAAAGAACATCCCAGCTTACCTGCCCAATGTGCTGGCACTGAAAGAAGCCCTGCAGCGGGCTAGAGACTGGATTGCCAAAGTGGAGGCCATTCAGGTAGGGGGTTACAGCAGGGACTGGAATCTTCTGCTTGCATCCTTTTATTTAGACATGCTCTGTATTGCTAGTCCCTCTATCCACAAAGATGACCTGAAGGGAAACCGTACTATAGCTGTTAAATGTGCTTACTGTAGCTCATGTGCTTGAATTTATTTGTCTTTTTGTGCTTCTGTTTCCCCATTGGTTATCCGATTTCTTTTTCCCTTCCTTTTATGCATTTCATGGGGGATGTAAATCTGGCAAATTCATTATGATACAAATGTAGCTCTCAAAGGGCCTTCCTTGATACTGAAGCTATTTTGCATGCTGTCACTGGAAATACTTGGCTGCAGCAGAAGGTGTTCTGCTCACAGGTCTTAAGTTTTGGAGCTGTCTATGGAATTGGGGCTTTTTGTTTGTTTTTCTCCCCCAAATGGTGTAAGGTTTAATGGCACTGATGGCTGAAATTTTCTGTCTGAAATAGATGAAGTTACGGCACTTGTTAGTTCAGTAGTTCCCCCTTCTATTGTTGCTCTACCCATGATAACTTGATCCAAAAGGGGCATGGCTTCTGTGATGTTTCTAGGTGTTGATCTCTGGACTGCAACTGCTATTCTTGGATCAGGTATTTGTTGGGAACTGAAGTAAGAATCCCAATTTATTTCAGCTCAGCCCCTGTACAACTCCCAGCTATTGTAGCTTGCTGTTAAGCAGGCAGCATTGAAGACAATCATCTAGAAATGAAATGTTGTCTTACTCCATAAGCCAGCTGGCTACATCAGAATGGCTGTTAAAATAAAAACTGTATGAGATAGGTTTTTAAAACATCAGTCAGATTGAAGCCCTGCCCTCTTTTCCTTTCTTATGGAACTCTGTTTTAGTCAGTGACAAATGGTGTGTGGCTTGAAATTAAGCTGGCCACTGATATAATGGTGGAACTGTTGGCTTGGAAAAATTTCTTTTACCCCAGAACGGGAGCAACTATGCCTACCTGGAGCAACTGGAGAGCTTGTCTGCCAAAGGCCGCCCAATACCAGTGCGTCTTGATGCCCTGCCACAGCTGGAGTCACAGGTAGCTGCAGCACGTGCCTGGAGAGAGCGCACAGGAAGGACCTTCCTGAAGAAGAACTCGAGCTACAGTCTGTTACAGGTGAGCAACAGACACTTCTGTGTCAACCTTCGGAAACGGATCTTGATGGCCCTTTGTGGTCTGGAGGGAACAGCTGGTTCATTACAGTAGATTACAGTTCCTTTTGAGAATAGAATATAATAAAAAACTTCAGCTGTTCTCAGTGAAAACAATGAGAGGCAAGAAGTCTGTTTGGCTAGTCTTGTTTCATGGAGAGGCAACCTCAACTGTTACTTTTGAAGAAACAGATTAAAACTCTTTTTTGGGAAGGAAAGAAAGATTTCTCTTTTTGTGTAATTGTAGAAATGGAGGCCTGAAATGGGCACAAAAGCTGTCTTTAATTGATTAATGTTTTAACTTGTTCCACTGCTTAAGTCCTAAGAAAATAGATTAGATATTTTGTAAGCTGTTTAACTGTAAGAAAAATTAAGTCAGTTACTGTTTATTACACTTCAGTGAATGTAGTCACTTTGTTTTAATAAAAATCGTTCATGTGTTTGAAGATTTATCATATCTACTTGACAGGCTTTTCTTTTCTAGGGAAAACAATTCCAGTTCTTTCAGCGCTTCCTTGTAGGCTGTGTTTTTCATAGTCTTATCTTGTTGCTATTCTCTGTGGTTTGTCTTCACTTTTAGCGTCATGTCCAAAACCAGACAGAATCCTCTCACTATAGCTTCCCTAGTGCCATCTGAACTGCAATAATTACGTCTCGTGTCTCGAAGGGGATACTGCTGTTTAATGTTTCCCAATGGGATCTGCCCCTATTGCAACACCATCACACTGATTTCTGTTCAGTTTATGAGGCACTGTAGGTCCGTTTTTTTTTTCTGCCTAGCTAGTTATTTACTATCTTATGGTTTTGCATTTGACTGTTTTCCTAAATACATCAATTTGAACTTTTCTGTATTGAATTTAATTTGTTAGATTTCATGTTTAAGTAGGCCTTCTAACTAATCAAGATTATTTAAAATTAAATTCTTGTCCTTAAAAGTGCTTTGCAGCATCTCATGTTGATATTAAAAGACTTACAGAGTATTTTTTTAGCTTTGTTTCAGCCACCAAATCACTGATGTAAGCATGAAATCATGGCAGTCTTAAAAGACTTGCAGTTGAGGAAAGCACTTGAAGTGAATGTTAAACTACTGATATCTAACTGTGTACAATATTTCAGTTAGCTATATGTATGATGGCTTAATCTGAACAGATTTCGTAGTTTAATTATGAAAACATTGTGGCTTTCAAGTTGACCTGCCACATTGTTGTGGTGCTGATTGCATTCGAATTCCATACGTATGAAGTACTTGTATTCTTTTCTGTTTATTTCTCCTCTTCCTAGCATTAATTGACAGATATCAAAGGTGTTAGATTGCTGAGTACTTTTTGCTCTCGGATGACTCTGTCATAGTGCCTTTATTAGATATTCTCATATAGGTCTCTGAAATCATAACATTATAGATTAGAAGTTTTTTTCTGTTCTTGGCATCCTTGGCTCTAACAGTGTAAGTTTTCTTGGTGGTTACAGGTTCTGAGCCCTCGAACTGATATTGGTGTTTATGGGAGCAGTAAGAATAGGCGGAAGAGGGCAAAAGAGTTGATGGAGAAGGAAAAGGAGAAAGATCTGGACCTGGAATCCCTGAGTGAACTGGAGGATGGTCTGGAGGAGGCCAGAGACACTGCAGCTGTGGTAAGGAGCAATGAAAGGTAGTGTCTGCTGATGTGTGGGTTTAATTTGTCTCTAATCTGTGTAGAAATTTTATGGAAGAACTGGTAAATGAATCTCAGTGAAAGAAATGTCTCATAATGTGATGTTTGACACCAGAACGTAGTTCAGCTTCAATTGCAGTGAAAGTAGAGGGAAGCACAGTTCAGAGTATAAGTGCTGGTATTTAATATGTATTGGGCTATGTGTAAGACTTAAATGCTTTTGGGTTAATATCTGTGGCTGTTCATCTAATATTATTAACATCTATTGAAATCAGATCAAAATAATGTGGAATGAGGTGCAGCTCTACCTTAAACAGTACCAAGACATACTTGTTTAGCTTGATTTTGAGGGCAGTCTATATGTGCCTTGTTGTAGAAACTGGACTGGGGAAAATGTTGTATTTTATTCCTCCTGTTAGGAGCATGTTGATGCAGCTTTTCAGAGAAATTTGCTGTCATCTGACTGCCCTTTCTCTGGGAACAAAGAAAATATATGCAGGCTCATTAATGTGGCTTTTACATAGTCCATTTTACCTTAGAATGCTTTGTTATAGTTAATTGAATGGAAACACTGAAGAAATGCTAGTTGCTTCAGGAAGATATGTGGTCACTCAGGTGCTCCTGGTGCTGAGTCAACATTGAAACAATGCTCAGCTGCATTGTCTCGGTAGGCAAATGGATGGAACTGGTTCTGACTTCTTTCCTGGAGTCAAAACCTGTTCTTCTGGTGGCCTTAGGACAGATTTAATTATGAACTTCAGAAACTTTGTAGATGTGGAAAAGGTTATCTAATGTTTACATAGAATCTCTGTCAGAAGGACTTAGGGGAGTAATGAGTAATTGAGGAGAAGGTATTTTAGCTGAAGCTTTAATTAGATCCTGCAATCTGAAATATTGAGCTAGTTTAACTAGGAGATATGTTGATTTCTTTTTTTCTTTTCCTTTCTTACGTTGCTAATAAAATGTAATCTCTCTTGGCTGTGAAGGTCACAAACTTTTTGTCTTTGCTGAGTAGGTGGCTATATTCAAGGAGCGGGAACAGAAGGAGATTGAAGCCATGCATGCTCTCAGGGCAGCTAACCTGGCCAAGATGACTATGGTGGATCGGATTGAAGAAGTCAAATTCTGCATCTGCCGCAAAACGGCTAGTGGATTCATGCTACAGTGTGAGCTGTGCAAAGACTGGTTTCATAGTGGCTGCGTGCCCCTTCCCAAAACAAGTTCTCAGAAGAAGGGCTCTAGTTGGCAGGCCAAAGAAGTGAAGTTTCTGTGTCCACTTTGCATGCGTTCTCGAAGGCCACGGCTTGAGACAATACTGTCTCTGCTGGTGTCCCTGCAGAAGCTGCCTGTACGACTGCCAGAAGGGGAGGCATTGCAGTGTTTGACAGAACGTGCCATGAGTTGGCAGGACCGAGCACGGCAGGCTTTGGCCACCGATGAGTTGTCCTCTGCTTTGGCTAAGCTTTCTGTGCTCAGCCAGCGCATGGTGGAGCAGGCAGCACGGGAGAAAACGGAGAAAATAATCAGTGCAGAGCTACAGAAAGCAGCAGCTAACCCAGACCTGCAGGTAGGGATGTGGACATCTTGCTCCTTACTGTGTTTGTTCTTCTTCAATGTGTCGAAGTGTCTTACCTTTCTCAGAGAAGCTTGGGGGTGAGGGGAGAGCAGTTAAAAGCTGAGAATTAAACATACTAAAATTATCTAGTTCAGTGCTTCTCAGTCTGAGGCTATGGCTGGTTTCAGTCAGTTACATGCTGCTCCAGGAACTGGTCTGTCGCTTTGTATTCACTGTCAGTAGCAACTGCTGAAGGTGCTTGTAAGAAACGTCGGTTCAGATACAACAGCTGGCTGAGGGCCTGAAGATGTATAAAGCACTGGTTTGGTGTCCAAATGCCGTTTCCCTCTTGACAGTATCGAAAGTCTCAATATTTAAAATTTCTTATGGATTGTCATTCTCAGGCAATTTGGTGTCTTGTCAGTGAATTTCAGTGAGGACTATAGACTGGCACCTTTGTGACTGATTCATCTTGAGATTGAGACCAGTAATCAGAGGAAGCAGCGGTGAAGAAGTTTGTACAACCATAGGCTGTATTTTGGTAGCACTCAGCAGCAGTATCTAGATCTTTCTAGGCGCTGTTATTCAAAAACATGGAAATAAAATCTAATAGAACCTTTTCCTTGGGTATTTCTCTAGCTTTCTTCTGTAACTAGGCTCTTCTGTGACTGTCCAGGCAGTTATCCTCAGGCCAAAAGAACCACTGTGTTCTTTGTTAGTAACTCAGCACTTTTACAGATTATTCTGGAAATTTTATTGTTTCATTCCCGTATTCCATTTTTCTTTTAGGGACACTTGACTAGTTTCCAGCAATCAGCCTTTAACAGGGTGATAGGGAGTGTGTCCTCATCCCCGCGGCAAACTTTGGATTACGATGATGAAGAGACAGACTCTGATGAAGACATCAGGGAGACGTACGGCTACGACATGAAGGTGAGTAATCCAGTATGGCTTGTCTGTATAGAATTAATCTGGAATACCTGTTTTTTATTGATTCAATTTATTTCAGAATATTTTTCATATCTTAAATTATCTCTGTACATTCTGCCCAGGCTCCTGTTGCAGAAGAGGCATTTCTTGATTTTATCTGAATATCTCAACTCTGGGCTATTGGGAAGTTTTGTAATGTTTTTGTTCAAAATTTCCAAATGTCCTGTGTTTGAGTTTCAAAAGGTGCTTTTTAGTGCTAAGGAAAAAGATACGCTTCTCAAAGGATTTGTATTTATAATGCCATAGAGGATGAACGTTGTCTTTGTGCCCCATTCAGAGATACCATGAATCATAAATATGAGTAAGTGTCTGTGTGGAGAGCTGTTCAACAGTTTTTGCTACAGCAAAAAATTAAGTCTTTGAAAAACTGCATGCGTTGTAAGAAGTTTCCTAATGCCAGAGCTTCTTTCATGTTTTCATACCTTTCTATAATCATTCAACCCTCATAAAAGGGAGGTACATCTGTTCAGTTTCAGATGTGTGGAAGTATTCAGGACTAGATGTCTGGATTGTGTTATAAAATTAGTGTCTGGATTTAGTTCAGAAATTGTAACTGCAGTTAGATTTAAAAAATATTTTAGCTAGAGAAGAACTGTCATGAGAAAAGGCAGTTGTATAGATAGCCAAGGGTTTTCAGTGTGATGTGGTTCACTTCAGAACTTCTGAAATAACCTTTTGGTGTATGCGGAGACATAAACAATGGCACTGTTCTTTCTTGTGCAGTGGTCTCTTTTTAGTGATAGCGTCTTATCTAACTGAAAACACTAACTTAGACAGTGTGGTCTTGTAAATTTTAAAAGGCAGAATTTCTGGTTTATGAAGGGTCATCAGATTTTCCAGATATGGTTTGCCTCGATCTCCTTTTTTTAGTATTTTGTTTCTAAGCAGCTTTATGCAAATATACACATTTGTCTCACAGTCCCATTTGAAATGCCAACAAGAGTACATTGTGATGGGATGTTAACAGCTTTTAATTAAATTAGTTTTATTAAAAAAAAAATCTAAACTATTCTTTTTCAGGCATTTCTGAAAGATGTGGAGTTTTCTGAGGCTGTGAATAAAGCATATGTCAAGAAAGATGGCATATGCTTGTCAGGATCTGAGCTTTTTGCAGGAGTATAATTTAATTTGTCTAATGATTATGTTGTCATGATTTCAGAATCTGTTACTCCTTTTGATTTGGATGTCCATCACCATATGTAATTGTAAAAACCTGAAAGTAAAAGTCTGTTGAAGCAAAGCTGATAGAGACCAGAAATGTCTTTTATTAGGTCAACTAGCATGGTTGGAATAGAAGACAGATTTTTCAGGCCACCAAATTCTTCAGGTCTAAACTAGAAGCAGCAAAGTTCAAAAGATACAGCAAAGTTGCTCAGAATTCAATCATTTTTATACTCTTGGCTTTCAAGGATTGAGGTTTTTCAGTTTATGGTCTATAAATGTTTTCCTGTGGAGTGATGTGTTTAAAAAAAAAAAGTATATAGATTATGATGCATCATGTCTGAACTTGCTCTTAGTAACTTCTTGTGGACCCCGCAGAACTAATCCTTGGATACCTAAGGGTCCATAGACTGTATTTCAAAAACCACTGTTTCGAATATCTCAAGTACAACAGTGGCTACAAAAACAGATGGTAAAAGGCTGTTTGATTATATTGTGCCGCTTCTAATTAAAACATGATTCTTACCAGCAAGTACTTCATTATAAGTGCAATAGCTAGACTTGTTTTAAGACTTACTCCAAGCAGGCTGATTCACTGGTCAAATTTACTGTAAATTTTCTTCACCTTTAATTGCCTTCGTTTTTATCTCATGTATTTTTTTCTCATTCCTTTGCATCTGTGTTGCCTATAGCCACCGAATGGTCATATCTTTTTATTAATTTCCCTATTGGCCCTGAACTTTCTTTAGTATAATATGATACCCAGAACAAGATACTATACTAGAGATAACCTTTACTACATAAGGAGAAATATCTTCCTCTTTCTGAATATATTTATTTTACCTTTTCATCTGGGCAATTTAAATCTGAATTTCCCACTTCTAGTTCTGTGCCGAAATCATTAGCGTGCACTTCACTTCCTTTTAAATGTGTAACTGAAAGCCAGAGAGAGATTACCATTCTTAAATTCCCTTTTTATGTCATGAAATGACAGTATCCGGGTGTTAAAATTTCCTGAGTTGGCCGTTTTGGGACCCACACAGCTAATCTTAAGGTAAATATTGTCAATAACTGCACTATAGCCTTTTTCTTCTTTTAAGCCAACTTCTTGTTTATTGTTTTCTGAAAGATTTCAGCCTTACATGGCATGCTCAGTATGTTGAACCAGTTGAGCAGTTTCATCTCAAATGTGATAGGGTAGAGAAGTTCTGGAAAGTGCTGTGGATATAGATAACTGATGGAGTGTAGTGTTATTAATTTTGCCTGCAGGGGTGAGGAGGAAGAGGAGTGAAGTGAGTACTAGTAGACATAGAATCATAGAATGGCATAGGCTGGAAGGGACCTTAGAGATCATCTAATCCAACCTCCCTGTCATGGGCAGGGACGCCTCTCAACTAGATCAGGCTACTCAAGGCTCTGTCCAACTTGGCCTTGAACACCTCCAGGGAGGGGACATCCACAACTTCTCTGGGCAATTTGTTCCAAAGTCTCACCACCCTCATACTGAAGAGTTTCTTCCTAAGTTCTAATCTAAATCTGTTCTTCAACTTAAACCCATTTCCCCTTGTCCTATCAGTGGACACTCTTGTAAAAAGTCCCTCCCCAGCCTTCCTGTAGGTTCCCTTTAGGTATTGGAAGGCAGCTATTAGGTCCCCCTGAAGTCTTTTCTTTTTAAGGCTGAACAATCCCAGCTCCCGCAACCTGTCCTCATAGCAGAGGTGCTCCAGCCCCTGGATCATCTTTGTGGCCCTCCTCTGAACACGCTCCAACAGATCTATGTGTCTCTTATGGTGGGGACACTAGAACTGGACGCAGTATTCGAGGTGGGGTCTCACGAGCAGTGTAAAGGGGGAGAATCACCTCTCTTGACCTGCTGACCACACTTCTCTTGATACATCCCAGGATGCGGTTGGCCTTCTGGGCCACATGAGCGCACTGCCAGCTCATGTTGAGCTTCTTGTCTATAAACACCCCCAAATCGTTCTCTTCAGGGCTCCTCTCAACCCACTCTGTGCCCAGTTTGTATTTGTGCCTAGGATTGGCCCGACCCAGGTGAAGGACCTTGCATTTTGACTTGTTGAAGCTCATGCAGTTTGC